TAAAGAAAGAATTTCATTTGTGGCTTAAGTGAGCAAGTGTGTTTGTGTATCTATATCTGCACATTTTAAGGATTTCTTTGAAACTGCTTTTGTGCTGACTCCACAGAGGCATTTACCGAAGCTAGTCACGGTGTAGGAACTTTGAGTTAACCTCTTATATCAAACGAATCTTTTCATTTAGAGACCAATAAATCTCAATCTCTAGCTACCTTTTGTCGACCCAGTCTGGGCTCAGTGAGACAAAACTGGGGCTTATAATAATGACCAGATAAAGTTTATCAAAGTTAGGTTTTTCCTCTCCTTCATCTTATTTTTTTTTAAACAACCTGAAAAAATTTCTCATCTGACAAATAAAAGTTCCGTGAAATAGTAGTCCTCCCTCAGCGAGCAGTATATTGGAAGTTTCTTTGGATTTTCACAGCAAGCCAATGAATTAGATGGCTTTCCAAACTCAGATGCTGAAATGATTTATAGTTTTTCAACAAGTCATTATTTTGGTATGCAGTTTAGGTGAGGCTGAAACAATCTAATAATCAATGTAAGACGGGTGTGTGTGGTGAGGGGATTGTCTATAACCAAGGGAGTTGACACCAGAAACATGAAAGCCAGTCTGGTCTCCAGGGATGGAATTTGGGAAAGAGCCTGCACACGTCTGCTCCGGGACTCTAAAGAAATACATTGTTAACAACAACAAAACAGACAATGCCCTGAGCTCTGCCTGGATTCAGAGCTGAGCTACTCTTGAGATATTTTAGCAGCACTGTTCATTTTGATGGGGTTTCTGGGCCATTTGAAATTCAACCTTTAGCCAGCTTGCTCATGGCGTATGGTTACAGAATTCATTTTCTGATTTACTACCCCTCCTCCTGCATTTTTCTTTATTTCCTGGTGGCCTCCCATGAGGTTAATCTTTTTTTCCCCTTTCTTTTATATTTTCCAGTTTTGTTCTCCCTACAAACAACTCAATGTTTTTCCTGTTTCTACTGATCACTCATTTGCTTCCTTTCTCTTTTTCCTTCCTTAAGAGACAGAGGAAAATGAAAAGAATAGAAGGGGGATTTCCAAATGGTTCCTCTGTAAGTGTTATTAATTAATGTTACAAGGCAGACAATTCTTAACTAATAACAAAGTTGTAAATTACCACTGACTTTCAGATATTTCTCATTTGTCAGCTCTGATTAATTTGATTAATATTCCAGTCTTTGTAATAATTTCAGCTGCACTTACAATCAGCTCTACTCCAGATACCAAGAGCAGACTCTCACCCCTGCATGGAATTCTGTTCCCAGGTTTTCCTCTTTAAGTGAAGTTTTGCTTTCTATTCTGAGGTGCATGGCTTTGACAGGGAAGCTGGGAGACTGCCACAGGCTGTTCACAGTTTCAGGGTTACAGTGGACTGGCACAGCTTCCTGTGTTTAGTGATTTATATGTAATTTTGAAAACTTCATTGAGCGGCCTAAGTCCTTTCAGTAAAGAACAAACATTTGTTAGAATCTTACCAACATTTTTAAAAGTCCATATTCAAGGCTGAAGGAATAAGACTTTAAAGGATCCCCAAGTCCAGGAAACTCATCAGACTCAAGCCCTGTTTCTCCTTATCCTGTAAGGAGGTGGTGGTGGGGGGGGGAGAGCTGACCTGCTCTCTGCTCAGACCCATCCTAAGTCAGTACTACTTGGGAGGGAAAAAAAACAAAACAAAACAAAAAACGGTGTGTCTGTTGGGGGCAGGGCCAAAAGGGGCTAGAGAGAGATATCAGAAAGACCCCATCTTTTGGGAAGGGGAGTATTTCTACTGCATTTCACCATCATATCCAGAATGCAATTTTTGAAGCTATCAATACCCGCTGCCTCCAATACCCCTAGAGTTTTAATCTTAATTATATTATTAAGTGAAGTACTGTGCTGTCAGGACGTTGAACATGATTTATGACGTCTGCCTATTAAAGGATCGATTGTGAATATCGCTACTATCATCTATCAATATTCTCAACTAGGGGGTATTTCTCCCACCACTGTTGTTATTTGTGATACGTAAATCTCAGGTTGCAGGAAAAAACTATTTTTTCTTTGCAGAACTGGCTTTCCAGGTGCAGCAGCAATAAGTTTAGGAAACTGGGAGCCTCAGCGAGTTTCTACCGCATCTCACACCCCAGAGAGAGTTTAAAGATTTTTTTTTTTTTAAATGTTAAAACCAGTGAGTTCTCCCTGAGGTCTAGCAGAGGAAGGAAAGACAGAGACTTTTTCAGGGAAAGGAGGAACGTCTGCAGGTCGATATCAGGGGCCAGCGTTTCCTAGCTGCCAGGTGATTTGCAATGAGATGAGAAAGAATAAACCCAGAAACAATGTGGCCCTTTACAGGAGGATGATGACTGGCTGGGTTCTGGCGAAAAGTGCTGGGGGCTCGAATGTATATTTCTTGATCAGATACCTGGTCGTGTCTATGCCCAATTTCCGCGTCCAATTTCGGCGATCAATAAAAATTTTGTGCTTTGAGCCATCCCTACATCTACGCTTCCACCTGCTGGTGCCTCCTCTGCATAGGTGGAGGCGGGTGCGAAAGGCGCAGCGGGTAGGCCTGGAGGAACCCCAGCGCAGAGGCCTTTTGTCTCCAGAGAGCAGCAACTGTTTTTGCCACTCTCGCCGGGCACGGCACCCGGTTACCAGCGAGTCTCAGGCTCCTGATTTAGGGGAATGGGAAAGACAGGCAGAGAATAGAGCAAAACTCCCATTCTGTTGGCCTGGGAAGGGAGGCTACAATACCCAGCAGGATGGAGCTTCCAGTGCGGCGAGAGGGGATCTGAGCTGCGCGTTGCCGGTGCCCTAGACTCGCACCAGGCGGCGAACGCCTGAGGTTCCCTCCATGGCTAGTGAGGCGCCAGAGTCAGTCAAGCGCCCCCTGGCACCCGAGGGAGGCCAACCTCGTTTGAAACCGTGTAGCCGCGACCTGGGCGGGAGTAGGCGTAGGACGCCGAGCCCAGGACCTGCCTGTGGACCTAACCTCCGGGAGTAGAGCGGGAGGCTACCCACCTGCCCAGGTCTGACCTCAGCGGCCCTCACAGCCCAATCCTCCTCTCAGGATTCCAGCGCGAAGAAGAACCAACACGAATAGAACTCTTTGGCTTTCCTTTCCCAGACCAGAAGCTTGGGGCCACGCAGGACAGACCAGCTATGGAGACACACCGAGGTCAGGTGGGGAGGTCCCTTCTGCAAGGCTGATGGATGATTACAGCACCCTGCCGCCCCAGGTCCTGGAGTGCACTGAGGAGCAGAAACTTTGACTTCCATCCGTGCAATTCCACTTACCTGGCTGCTTGCCTGCCTTGGTCGGGTCACACAAGCTTTGAAAACTACCCTTGCCTACGATGGTTTATCCTTAGGTTTGGATACTCTGAGGAATATGAACACAGTGACTAGCATGTAGTAAGCACTCAATAAACATTAGCTGTCATTTTTTACAATTATTAGGTACATCTTTTCCCTCTAAGAGCACCCTCCCAACCCCAGAATCATCTATCCCAGACCAAACACTGCCTAACTATGATCATGAAACAGCCCTCAAACTAGTACCAGGGGCCCATCAGCTGCCTCTGCCAGCTCTGAGAGCTGCCCCACCCCCCACCCCCGGCACTGTGGAGTGGTCCATCCTTGACATGCTGGGAAAAACCCCAGCCCCTACAGTTCCTCCCTGAAGGTGTTTGTCCAGACCTGGGTCACCGGAGCAGAAGACACAGAGGTCTTTCATGTGCCCTGTACAAGTCAGCATCAGATGAGGGGAATTTTAATTAAATAAGAAGCCCCTGGGAAGAGGGATGATGGTTCATCAGTTTTGTTGTTTTTGTTGTTTTTTAAGGGAGGAATCCTTCAGTGAGATATATTTATGGTTGGGAAATATGGGGATACTCAAGAGCAGGCTGAGGCAGGAGAAGCATGGAATGACCCATTTTTCTTCCAGGAACATTTCTTTAGGTAAGCCTTTAATCAGCCTCTGGTGCGGGTTGTGGGGGAGTTGAGGGACATAACAAATTCATCAACAATATAACCGGATGTTTTGGGCCGTAATAAATAAATAAATCTAACTCTACTTTCTGATTTTTTTATTACCAACAATACTAGTCGTAATGTTATTATTTTGCAAACGATATTTCAGCCCATGGAGCAGCTACAGGAGCCATTCCCAGGACCAGGGTCACCTGCTGTCACCCTACTCTCCATTTCCCTCTCTACAACTCTCCTGCAACCTGACGGATGTTCTTGGGCCTGAGCCCGTTTAAAAACGACAAATGTCTAGTTAATACAGACTATCCATTCGCTCTTTATTTCTAACCATTTTTGGGTGCGAAGGACCCTGAAGCAGGTCTAACAGCACAGCGTGCCTTGTACGGTAATCGCCAAAACGTTGGCCTAATTTGCAGTTAGAAGATCTGGAGGGAGGGAGTCAGGAAGAAACCGGTGGCCTAAGGAGCTAGATTTAAGCTTTGGAAGGATCGGAAATTAGGGGACTGGAAGAAGGATGTGATTCATATTATTCTCCCCCTCCCACACAGGATCATGTGTCTCCTCACTGGGCCTTTGGGGACGCTGCCCTTAGCTCTCCGCAGCCTGTATCCCTGTGTTTTGCTTCTTGGATCCACACCATTGAGCGCCTGGGGCGCCCTTCTCAATGCGCTCAGACCCCACGCCCTCCGCCTGGCTTCTCCCAGGCCCCGGGAGGAGGCGCTGGTGCCCGGGTCGGGTCGGCCTCTGGTCCCTCCCAGGCGGCGCCTGGTGCTCGCATTCACAATGCCCCGCTTTGGGAGGAGGACGGACACACACACACACACACACACACACACACACACGTTAGGAGGGGAGTTTGATCTTGTCTCATTGGCGTCTCGGACCTGAAAGGAAAATCGTTTGGGTAAACAGCCAGGCTTCCAGGCTTAACGCCCGGCTCCCGCCCCCGCCCCTCTCCCCCTCCCCCTCCCCCAGTCCCCTTCAACCCCACCCGCCACCCGCACTTGGTTCTGCGGCCCGGCCGGGAGCGAGCTCCGCGCGGCCGGGAGGGAGCCAAGGGCTCCCCAGGTTCAAAGGGCCGCAGCCCTGAGGGAATGCCCTCTTCGTTGTGTCCCGGGGTACAGAAGCGGACTGCAGGGCTGTGGGACCGGCCTAGGTCACGGTAGGAACCGCGAAACCTCACTCTTCCCTGAGTAGCTGGTCCCTGGGGAGGGTACGGGGGAGTTCTGAGCCCGGAGGGACATTTTCGCCCAAATCGGGCAGAGGCCGAGCCTGGCGCTGGCTTGCTTCGGGGCTCCACCGCGGCCCCAACGGGTCCCCCTGGGTCTCCACCAGGTAGCCATAGGCATTGGTACATTGTGTGCACTACTACCGGCGCTAGCCTTGAGCTTCTGCTTACCCTTTGGGGATTACCAGTCCCCCACCTGCCTCCAAAAGGCCTTAGTTCCTAGTGAAGTCTTTAACCTAATATTAAGCGTTTTCTAAAGTTTGCTTCTTTCTAAAAGAGAGTTCTTCACTTAACCGGTTGTAAACATAATTACTAGTTATTAACATGCAAAAACCATTTTTAGTATTTAAAAGGATAATGGTTTCTCCCTAGCTCACCCTTAAGCATGGGGAGAACCTTGAAATCTGGAAATATCTTGATATAGAATATTAGACCCAATTATGTGGTGATTTCCCTGTTCTCTAAAGCAATTCTCTCTCCTCCCTTCCTCTGTCTCTTATTCTTTCCTTTTCCTTCTCCCGGTCTCAGTCTCACTCTAATCCAGGAGTCATTAGCAACACCCTCTGGCTACATGTTTTGCATCAGTGAAACATTGTGACATAGTTGTAATACAAACTCTGCCGTCTTGCACTGCATCTTGTGGTAGGAAGTGTAATAGCAATAAAAATCATTTTTCATCTCCAGGCATTATTCAGTGTGTGTGTGTGTGTGGGGGGGGTACAGAAGAACTGAATGTGAGGAAAAAATAAAAAGGAAGGGGTAAAGGAAGAAGGAGAGTGGGGGAGGGGAGAGTTAAACATCTTTCAATTTAGAACCCTTCTTCTCCAAACTGTGAGCATGTAGATTCAAGCATATCATTTTCTATGATCTCCTCTCCAATGCTTTTATCCCTTCTCTTCACTGCCATCCCTCAGAGGGCCTCAGGACCCTTCTCTGGAATTGTCTCTAAGCCCCCTGGGTCTCTCAACTGCTATGTTCCTCCCAGGTTACCACCCTCTCCCAGAAAGCCCCAGAACTTCCAGGGCTCTGGCCACCCCTTTCTCAGTGGGCTGGCATGAGGGATGTGCCTCCAAGTTCTGCTAGAAAATTGGGGCCTCTCTTGTGTGGTCTCTCAGGAATCTTTCCTAGCTTGATGGAAAAGGGACAAGCCAGCCAGAAAGCTAACCTGGCTATTTTCCTGGTTGCAGCACTGTAATTTCTGAGTGGGAACTCTGAGAGCCCTCTAATCTGCAATGAGGAGCGCTGGCTGGTTATAGGGAGAAAGGGCACTCACTCCATGCCCTGCCTGGCCCTTGGGGGCACATCCTGCCAACACAGGGGTATAAAGTCTCAAAAAATTGTCCCCACCTTAAGTTTGCTCAGGCAGAAAAATAAAGGGACTTATGCAACAGTACGTACACAGCACTTCCATACCAGAGTCCCTAGCATTTCATATGTAGAATCCATTAAACACCTTTTAAAAAGATTAAGTTGTAATCAAAATTATAACAGATAAAGTTCTGTACCTTTCCAAAACAAACAAGCAAACAAAACCCCCATAAGTTCTCACTGGACTTTAAGAGATGTTCTTTCAAAACTGTTTGGTATATGAAGTGTATTTTTATTATATTACTCCTGTCTCTGGGATAGTGCACTTTTGAAAGTAAATTGAAACAAAGACTCATGAAACCATTTAAGTGAATTAAATTTTCTGTGTTTTATAGTGCTGTGGAGGTACTTAAGAGTGGGGCAAACATCTTTAGTTACCAAGGGGGAAAATAGAGCCAAATGTCCAGTTTCATCTTGAAGAGAAACGCTGTGTAATTTGTAATTCTTGCCATTGCTACTTTCACTGGCTGATAGGTGGATACCTCAAGGACTGCATTTTATGGTTATTTTGTTAGTAAAGTCAAAAGTTGAGAAAAATAAGATACCAATGGGCTGGCGACTGGTATGGCAAAGCCTCTCTAATGCCCGACTGACCGGAATGAATGAATGGATTTCCGAGGAAATCATAATTGGTAGGGGATGACTTCATAGGCACTTGTCTCATGGGAGATATTTGCATCGGCCACCACTAAATGACCCGATACATGACAGCTCGAACTGGTAGCCTCCTAGAGAACACTTCTCGCTTATTTTATCCTTTCTAGGAAAGTAGCCTCACAGTTTGGGTGACTACCTTGAGTTTGATGAAAGTATACTTGTATATTTCTTCTTCTTCGGTTATTTTTCTTTCATTCCAATGTAGCCACTATATATGTATCGCTCACAGATAATGATTTTTAAGCAGTGGGTAGAAAGCCTGTGGGTTTCGGCTTCACTTAGGGTTTTTATTGCAGGAAAAAGTCCTAGTGACGTTCAAGTTTGGCTGCGGGAGGGGAGGAAGGGTTGGCCGCGTAATTCCAGTTTCCGAAGCGAGGTGGCGCTCCAGGGTACTGCAGCGCTCCCGGTTTTCCTCCACCGTGCGATTCTGCCGCTTTCCCGCAGTACGGCGGCCGCCACCGAGCAACTTGAACGCAGGGTTTCTAAAGCCTCGTCGTAGAGACCAGGAGTGCTCAGACCCGTTTAGGCCGAGAGGCCCTCAGGGCAAAAGAAGACACGAGGCTACTACCCAGAAAGGCTGATGGCGGCGGGGAACAAGGCAGGGCAGAGAACGCGGTATCTTCTGGGAGCCGCTGCTCTGGGGAAATTGCGAAGTTGGATCGCCCCTTGGTACCCAACCCCCGCCGACAGCACCGTTGCGGCTACGGCTGAGGGCCCTCGGGGCCCGAATCAGCCTCCGCCTATCCCTGGGAGGTCGACCTGAAACACGCGGAGAGTGTCGCGCATCACCCAACCACTCTGACTCAGGGAACTTCACAATTTTTTCCTTTTTGTTTTTAATGGAAAATAAATAAAGGAAACAAAATCTGATGCGCACGGTCTTTGTCTCCCCAAATACGAAGCTCTCCTGATTTTCCCCTTTCCCTTCCCTTTCTTTTCTTCTATTTCTTTTTTTCTTCTTTTTCCTTTCCTTTTCTGTAATTTTCCTTCCCTTTTCTTTCGTTCTTTTTCTGTTTTCCCTTTCATTTATGGAAGCCGGTTTGTGTGTGTGTGTGTGTGTGTGCGCGCGCGCGTGTGTTTGAGAGAGAGAGAGAGAGAGAGAGAGAGAGAGAGAGAGAGAGAGAATTCTCAGTCTTAAAAAGCCAGCATTGAGTAAATGACAGCAAAATTGAGGAAGAAACTATTTTGATTTATTGAACGGATTTCACTCCATAGGATTTCGTTTCTACATAACTTCTGCCCTTCCTGGTGTCTGCCTCACAGCCCCTAATCAAAGATGACCTGGAGGAAAAGTCTCTCACTTTGCACTACTAATCTGTGGTTGTGGGGACCCTTTAAACCCATTTTTGAAACAATGATAGAAATAATAATAGTAATGATAATAGTAGTAGTTGTAATGAACAGTATTTCCATCTTGCCTGAATTTCCTCATGGTTTTGCAGCAAGGTTTGTCAGAACAGCAGCAATGCAAAATGGCTGGGTTGCTACTTTGGGATCTTCTTTTCAGCAGTGGTTCCATAAGAATCCCTGGATCCCTGAGCTGTCCCTCTTCCAGTGGGCTTGGGTATCAAGCATGGGCCCTCCTAGCTGTAGGGAAGTTTTTTCTTGACCTGTGCAGGTCTTGGGTCTCAGACTTGTAGACAGCTTCAGGCCTTTTAGCCAGTATTTCTGGCCATCTAACCTTCCCAGAAGTTTTGTAGCTTAACTGGAGGAATTTACAGCACAATATAGGATTCTATATAAACTCGGAGGGTCAGGTCATTAGGAATATTAATGTGTGATTAAGAATTATAAACATGATCTAAAAGTCTCTTTCTATTCATTTCTTCAAGTATTTATTTGAGCTAAGTGATGAAAAGTGACAGTTATGAAATAGACAGCTTTTAAAAGTAATGAAGGCAGATGAGGCTTTAACCTGTCGATTGCTATAAATCAACTTTGAAAAAGATGAATGAAGAATGTTATTTTGGCACCTAACTGCCAACATTTGCTGTACTGGCTGCTGGCCTTTGAATTGGCCTGCCAATGTCATAGGGGTAGTTTGAGTCTCTAGAGCATGGCCCTCTGGTGACTGGGAGGCCTGGGACTCTGCTACCAAAAGGGAGACATTTTCTGTTTAGATGTCGCCACTGGTTGGGGCCACTGCAGTGTGTTGGAGCAGGGGACCTCAACCATGAGCACAGTTGAGAATTCAGAAGAGTGGTCACCCAGGAGACTGGAGTCATAATAGCTGTGCGCTTAGCCCAGCTCTACAGTCCTTGCTGAAGGGTCAGTTCCAGCATGATTCCCCGAATTATCTTACTAACTCCCTGGACTTGGTGGCAGCAGTGTTGCTAGGAATGGGGGTGGGGAGAAGACCAAATTTCTCCAGGCTCTGGGAGGGGGTATGAGGTTTTAGGTGACATTGAATGGCTTCCATCTTCCAGGGGAAAACTGTGAAAAGAGGGGATGGGGGCTGCAGAGAAATTGGGCAGGTGTCTTCAGGTCTTGGGGAAAAGGAGGGGAAGGGTCTGGATTCTGCATTTGTCCCAGTCAGAGGACCAAAAAATTACTTTTAAGAAAGATGATCTGATGTGATATTTTATAGTAAAATTTACACATATTCATGGAGATCTCAGCTCTCCTTAACTGTCATTTCAGTCATAAAGCTTGTGGTGAGGAATGACTTCTATCCTTCTCACCCAAGCATTCTACCCCCAAACGTGTCATTCAGGATCTGCTTGTCCTAACGCTTCCTCCCAATGATCACCCATGCCCCTCCCTTGCATCTTGGAGAAATGCTGGCCACCAGCATTCTCTCCAAGAGGCTCGAGCCTGCTTGAGAGCCAGCAACAGGTTTTGCTGAGTGGCTTCTGCAGAGTTCTCTCCTCCTTCCCTCTCCATCCTCAGTTCTGGGGTTAACTGGGGGA